CCACTGTCAAGGAAATAACAGAATGGGCTCAGGAATACTTCCAGAAAGCATTGTCAGTGAACACAATCTACCGTGCCATCCGCCGTTGCCAGCTGAAACTCTACAGTGCAAAGAGGAAGCCATTTCTAAGCAAGCTCCACAAGCTCAGACGTTTGCACTGGGCCAGGGGTCATTTAAAATGGAGTGTGGCAAAATGGAAGACTGTTCTGTGGTCGGATGAGTCACGATTTGTAGTTCTTTATGGAACACTGGGACGCCATGTCATCCGGACCAGAGAGGACAAGGCCTAGCACCTACACCTGCCTCCACCCTCATTTGCCCCACTCTGAGCCCTTGAGCAAGGCCCTTCACATAACAAAAAGTGTGTGTGCTGGGTGAGTGGGGTCATTCATGATGCAGGTGGACCTCTTCCTGCATCTGGAGGTGTAGATGTCTGTGATGGTCGGGAGACTGACTCCAACAGATTCCTGTGCAGCCTTCGCCACTCTCTGCAAAGCTTTTCTTTCTGCAGCTGTGCAGCCTCCATGCCACACGTTGATGCTGGAGCACAGGATGCTCTCCACTGCCCACCTGTAGAAGGAGGTGAGGACTGAGCTTCCCAGTCCAGCTCGTCTCAGCTGCCTGAGGAAGTAGAGTCTCTGATGAGCTTTCTTGATCAGGCTGGTGGTGTTGTTGCCCCAGCTGAGGTTGTCATTCATGTGTACACCCAAGTACTTGTAGCTGGAGACCACTTCCACTGCAGTTCCTGTCCAGGGTGTACCCCACCCCTCACACAGTGATTGCTGGACATGGGCACCGGTGACCCCCGTGACCCAAAATGGAAGAAGCGGGTAAAGATAATGGATGGATGTAATTCAAGAGCACAATAATTGCATGTAACATGTTCTTCAGCCAGGCAGCACGGTGGCGCAACTGGTAGAGCTGCTGCCTCTCAATGAGCAAGTCCCTGGTTCAAATCCCAGTTCCAGGGTATTTCTGGGTGGAGTTTGCATGTTCTCTCCGTGCTGTGTGGATTTTCTCTGGGTACTCCAGTTTCCTCTCACAGACCAAAAATATGCATGTTAGGCTGATTAGTAACTTTGAATTGTCCTGCGGTGTGAGTGAGAGAGTTAATGGTTGTTTGGCTCTATGTGTCCCTGTGATGGACTGGAGACCTGTCCAGGGTGTCCCCCACCTCTCGTACAATGACGGCTGGACGTGGGCACCAGCAGTCCAAAAAGGAAGAAGTGGGTAAATACAGTATGATGGATGTTCTTCAGCCTCCAATGGTTTCAGGTTTAGGAAATCTCAAACAATAAAAACGTAGTTTGTTTTGTGTATTTGTCTAATACACTTGATATATATTGTTAAGACTATGAGCCTTGGGGTCCTCTCAGAAGAGGTGGCTGTGGAAAGTGATGTAAATGGACCATACTTTTATAGCACATTTCTATCTTCTCAAGACACTCAAAGCTCTTTACTCTACAGCCTGTGCCCTCATTTACCCATTCATACAGCCAGTACTGGCCCAAGCCGCCATGCGGCCCTTAGCGAAATTTGGTTTGGTGCCCTCTGACAGCCCTGTTTACATTATCTTATATGTATATTTCATCTAGTGCACGGGTGTCAAACTCATCTTCATTTGGACTAACAAGTGCAAAGCGAGTCAGAGGTACACACTGTTCTGTAGAAAGTTTCACATGGATCCAGAATCTCCATGTGAAGATTTATAGCAGCACTCCCTCGATTTAATTACGTCCTCACACAATAAAATACCCAACTACACTATTTCAGGCGAGTATGCTGATTAAAATAAAACATGCATTTCATAAATGGGCCACATCAAGCTCATGAATGTCCTCAAAAGGCCAGACGTGGCAGAGTGTATTGATAAAACTACCCATTAACAAACTGGTCAAATATAACTTTCTCTGCATTCGATGACTCCCTTTAAAAATTAAATATTTTGTGTTTGAGTATTTTGGCATTAAAAACACAAAAACTGATTTGATTTGACTGATTAAAGTAATATTGAAGCACACAACTGTTTTAACACAATTTTATCACTTACATACAGGTTAGATCAGCTCATTTTGTATCGTTTTTCCCCAAGTATGTGATATGCTGAGATATATATTATTGTAAAAACAAATAATCACAACTTTATAATGGAATTGTGTGTAATAGAATCAAATAGAAATAACCCCGGGGCCCTAAGCTGTTTGCTTATGCCTTGGGCTGGCCATGCATACAGCACTCTACCATAACAGACTAATCAGAGCTTTAGATCCCATTCATACACCGATGGGACACGCATCAGAGGCAATGAGGGGTTCAGTGTCTTGCCCAGGGACACTTCAGCATGTGACTGCTGGTGGAATCAAACCTCCAACTCTCCCATTGGAAGGCGTCTGCTCTAACCACAGCCGCCCCAGATGACTGACCTCCCTGCTCGAGCTGTTGCTGGATAGATGGTTTGAAAATATAAACTTGCAAATAAAAGAACTGCTTGTATTCAGCTCTATAAAATGCAACAAAAATATCGTACGCGTTGATTGTAAAGACTGATTTTATTTTACAAAATGCAAAAATACAAATGCTTCAAGACGATTGCTGTTAATGAATCAAGCAAACATAAAACAGCAACAAAAGCAAACAAAGCCTCAGCTGTTCCAGTCCTGAAATCGGAAACAGTCACTTGCGATCTTCCACACGGGTTGGTCATTGGGTGAAGCCTGAGCCGTAAGAAGAAAATTCTGGTTGAAGAATCGCTGTTTGTTGCCTTCGAACTTGACTAACCCACCAGTCACCACCAGCAAAGTAGTCTGGCCTTGGGTCGCATGTTCTGGGAATGAAAAGCATTCAAAATGATGCAAAGCTCAATTTCACTAAAGGTATGCCATTTTTTTTCAAACTTGGATTTTCCCAACACATTTCATACTTTAATGCTATAAATCCCAAAGTTATCTTTGTATGAACATTGGATAGGCATCGTATTGCCTCACTGACCATGAACTGGCTGACAGTCCAGTGTTTGAACCTGAAACTCGCTCGATGGCAGAGACTCAAAAAACTCGCTCAGAGCATCTTGTCCTGACACGGCAGTGCCGTTCCACACCAGGGTCGCCTTGTCCATGTACAGCCGGGTCAAGTTCTGAAACACAGAAGACAATCAATAATAGAAAAATACACCAACAGAAGCAAAAAACATGCCTTACAGTAGCCCCCAAAATACAAATAAATCCTAAAAGTTACAAACTTTAAAGCACTTTTTTTTTTCTTTGGCATTGAATTTAAGTGTTGTCAAGAAATTGTGCAAACCTTTAAAACAAATTGACCACGCTAAAGTTAAGCAAGTTATAACTTAGCCATGTGTTTGAATAATCAGGTCTTGAGCAAATAAATGTGCATCAGTGAGCAGAGGAGTAACTAGATCTGCTGTGATGTTTGACTGAACGTTGTTCTTCAGGTGGGAAAAAACAAATTTCAAGGTTCTTTATTGTCATTCACATCACATGTGGTACATGAGGTGGAACGAAATTGTGCACACAGGGTCCCAGTTACATCCAACGACAGCAAAAATATAAATTGTCAAGGGAAACAGTATTAAGGATTTAATATAAATTTCATTTATTTATTTTAAAATAAATGTACTGGACATATCAAGTTGGAAATGAGTTGCAGATGTTCAATGATTACGTTCAGAGAGTTTCACGTCTGTCCATTGGTTCAAGAGCTGTTTTGCTAACACATGTTAAGGGCAGCGTTGCCAGGTGTACGATAATTATCGTATTTGTACGACAATTTTGCCCTCTATGATGTACAGATAATAATCCCAAAAAAGGCCAAATGTATGATAATTTGACCATTCTGTGAATGTGTGGTTGTAATCAGTTGTCATCAGCCTGTCGCAACTGTATGTCTGAGTTTTTTTGTGAACCCTGAAGGCTTTTGTGTCCACAAACAGATGCTGGAAATTCCAGCCAATCGTGCTTTTCTAAATGTGACCTACGAGTGACGTGTATGCGTTTGCCTCAGAACAACGGCCATGATTGGCTGAGTAGTCTGCTGCACCCGCGCCATGGGTGAGGAAGAGAAAACAGAAAAGAAAGAAGAAGCAGAGCCGGTCTGGAAGCGGACCCATCACTACTATAATGCATCAATAGATTTGTTATTTTGGTTATGACGGGTGTACAATAATTTCCCTCAAAATACGATAATTTTATGTCTCTAGTACGATAATCCTACATTTCTCACCTGGCAACACTGGTTAAAGGGCTTGTTCAGGGCCACACATTGGGGTAAATAAGGGTGGAGGCAGGTGTGTAAGACTTTTCGACCTTTCCCACTCAAACTTCTGTTATAATGGCCTAGAGATGTGAACCTGCAATCTCCTAATCACAGGCTTGCCTTCTCTAACCTGTGCACCACCACTCCCCTCTGACTGATTACACAATGACGTAACATTAAGATGGCTGTGTCTAAAAACAACTGTGCTTTATGTGGATGAATTGAGGGCAGAAAGAGCAAAAGTTATCAAAGTCTGTTAACTATTGGTATAAAAGAGGTGCGACTGTTGTTCTACATCTGGTTCCTGGTACTATTTTATGAAATTGGACCACAGCAGTGGTAAATAGCCAACTGGTGAAAATGAAGAGGAAATTTATACAGATATGTAAAAGAAACAGAAATGTTTGAAGGATATACAGAAACAAAAAGGCTTAAAGATACAAAAATGGCAAACTCTACAAATTAATTTGTTAATCAATTGAAAAATAAATTATAAAAATTTGTAAGAATAGAATAATATATAGATTTTAATTTATTGCCTTTATCGTTTCTTCGTGTCTCTCTCTTTCTACTGAAGACACTGGATGACAAAAAGCTCAACTCCGGTGCTCTTCACTGACCCCTCCCTTTCACTTTAAAATCCATTTTAACTGTCCAAAATCACGTTTTTGGATCATTAACAGCAGCTAAGCTGAGAAGCTAAGCTACGAGCTAAGCTAACAGGCCGACCTCGGGGGGGGGGGGGGGGGCTTGTTGAAGCTCCAAAATTCACGGTTGAAACCCGTGTCTTCGTGTACAAAGTTGTTTTTCTCTGTAAAAAGAAGCTGAGAACTTGTTTACTGATTCTTTTTAATTAAAAGCTTTGTGTGAAAAAAGCTATGCTAAAGAGCTCAAACCACACTGAGCGTCCGCCATTTTCAGAACTGGAAAAAAAGGAAGGAGAGACTGCCCATGTCACGTCAAGGGGCCTTCCTCCATCCATCCATCCATCCATTATCTTTACCCGTTTATTCCATTTTGGGTCACGGGGGTCGCTGGTGCCCATGTCCAACAGTCACTGTGCGAGGGGCGGGGTACACCCTGGACGGGTCGCAAGTCCATCACAGGGCCACATAGAGACAAACGACACAAACAACCATTCACTCTCTCACTCACACCTAGGGAAAATTTAGAGTTACCAATTAGCCTAACATGCATGTTTTTGGTCTGTGGGAGGAAACCGGAGCACCCGGAGAAAACCCACGCATGCACGGAGAGAACATGCAAACTCCACCCAGAAAGGCCCCTGGACCGGGGTTTGAACCAGGGACCTTCTCGCTGAGAGGCAGCAGCTCTACCAGTTGCGCCACCGTGCTGCCCGGGGCCTTCCTCCCATTTTTCTTAAAGAGTCACGCTGCTCATTCCCTCACTATCCATCTTTCGGTTCAAACAGTCTTATACTGCCATCCGGTGGTCAAAGCAGGTATTAAAACAAAACTAATTAACAAACATTTCTTATTAAATTTGATAATAAATACAAATTATTGTCAAATTTCAAACAATTTTATCGTTCATCGCAATAATTTCTGAGACAATTAATCACCTAGCAAAATTTGTTATCGTGACAGGCCTAAACAAAATAACAGAAAACTTCAGTTTGCAAAACTATTCACCCCCGTAAGGTCAGTTCTTCGTAGAGCCACATTTTGTGACAACTACACTTGCAAGTCTCTGAGCTTGCCACATCTTGCCACTGGGATTTTTGCCCATTCCTCGAGGCAAAACTGCTCCAGCTCGTTCAAGTTAGATGTTCCCGCAGGTGGACAGCAATCTCAAGTCTGACCACAGATTCTCAATTGGATTAAGGTCTGGGCTTTGACTAGACCATTTCAATATATTTACACATTTTCCCTTTAACCACTTGAGTGTTACTTTGGCAGTAAGCTTTGGGTCATTGTCCTGATGGAAGGTGAACCTCCGTCCCAGTCTCAAATCACTGACAGACCGAAACAGGTTTTTCTCAAGAATATCTCTGTATTTAGCACCATCCATCTTCCCCTCGACTCAGACCAGTTTCCCAGTCCCTGCTGAAAAACATCCCCACAGCAAGATGCTGCCAACACCATGTTTCACTGTGGGGATGGTGTTCTTGGGGTGATGAGATGTGTTGGTTTGAACCAGAAATAATGTGTTCTTTGGTGGCCGAAAAGTTCAACTCTGGTCTCATCTGAGCAGAGAACCTTCCTCCATACATTTGGTGAGTCTGCCACATGCCTTTTAAAGTTAAATGTTTCTAAGACAAAGGAGATGGTCTTTGATTTTAGAAAAGTCTCCTCACTTGTCACTCCTGTGGTTGATAACCGTGAAGCTGTTGAGGTGGTGCAACAATATAAATATCTGGGAACTGTTCTTGATGGCAAACTGAACTTTGACCCCCATGTGAACTCACTTTGTAAGAAGGCCACCAGAGAATGTATTTTTATTGGAAGCTCTGGTTTTATTGTTGATTCTACTTTTTATGAGAATGTTTTATTCATGTTTTATTGAGTCTCTTTTAACTTTTTTAAATTTATCAGCCGGATGATTTATCGTCCCCGATTTCCTTAATTTTGGGAAATCGACCGATACTTGCAAGAGAAACCGACTTCTACCAATTTTTTTGTTTGTTTGTTTTAACAACAATTGTCTGAACTTCATTGATTTTTCAGAGCACTACCTCATGGCCAGTTAAAATAAGTTTGTATTGTTTCTAGGATATTGTTCAAGGGTATGTTTTTCAATAAAATATGACTGGAAAATTGAAGGTACATTGTGACCTTATAACACCTGACCATGTTTCTTATAAAACAAAATCGGTACCGGCCAAATCGGAATCGGCAGGTCAGACTTTTTAGAAATCAGTGATCGGCCAGAAAACTGCAATTGGTGCACCCCTAACTTTTACCTTCATTTGTTGGTTTGGACTTTTCACACGAAAAAACAGGAATAAACTCTTGAGTGTCAGGATGTGCAACAAAACTGCTGGCATAGCTCTACAGAACCTCACTGACCTACACAACGTGAGGCCACTGAACAAGGTCGGACTGATTCTGGCAGATCCTGATCATCCACTCCATGGTGAATTCAGGTTGCTTCCATCTGGACGCAGGTATCTACTGCCCAGATGTAGAACGAACAGACTGAAAAACTCATTCATCCCTGTAGACATCAGGCTTCTCAACGAACAGTGATGTTTTCTGTTATTTTAATGTCTCAATGTCTTGTCTAGTATGGTTGATTTATGTGCCTACTGACTGTGAAACAAACTGCCCCTTGGGGATAATAAAGACTCTTGAACTTCTTCAACATGAATTTTGGCAAACTCAAAATGAACCTTTTCTATTTTTGTCTGAAAGGAAATGCTTTTTTTCTGGTCACTCTTCCATAAAGCCCAGCTCTATGGAGTGTACGCCTCATATAGCTGTCCACTGTTCCACCTGGGTGTATCCAAGGTGCAATGGGTTAAATGTAGAGAACCAATTTGGCCATTGTATGGGAACATACAATGACGACAACAGATAACACTTTACTTGTTGGAGTCATATGGACAGATACTCCAGTCTCTGCTTGTGAACTGAGCAGCTCCTTCAGGGTTACCTTAGGTCTCTGGTTAAAACCCTCCTTGCCTGGTCTGAGAGTTTTGGTGGGCAGCCTTCTCTTGGCAGGTTTGTTGTGGTACCAAGTTCTTTCCATTTGACGACAATGGATTCGATGGTGCTCTGAGAAATCATCAGAGATTTGGATTTTTTTATAACCCAACTTAATTGTACTTCCCAACAAGTCCCTGACTCGTTTTCCTTGGTCTTCATAGTGTTGTTTGGTTAGTGGTGGCTCTTGCTTACTGGCGTTGCAGCCTCTAGGGCCTTTCAGAAAAGGTGTGTGAATAGTGATACATCAGGTTGTCAGGAGATTTGTGGTCAAGGTTTATGGATTTTTTTAAACTACTATGGTTGAGAATGTTAACTGCCCATGAACCATGTGTTTGAGTTACGAGAGAGTTATCTTCTCTCTCAGAGAGGGCTGACTAAGGAGCTGATTAGATCCTGCATGTACAGCTGGGTGACCAAGGTCATCAGTGTTTGCCTGTGAAATAAAAATAATTCTCGCACACTGTCTGTGGCAGATTCTTTGTCACTGGACTCCATACATGTAAAACTTCTGCACATCTGTGTAACCTGTTGTGAAAGTCTGCCCTTGCAAGTAAAACCGGTTAAAAATCTTCTCATGTCCTCGCGTTTTACTTGCTTTTTTGAGTAAGTAAAATAAATAGAAGATATTTTTATCCAACAGATATGACGCTTAGATTGCACACAGGTGGACTTCCTTTCACTAAGCACGTGATTTCTGAAGGTAAGTGGTTGCACCAGAACTTTTAGGGGCTTCATGGCAAAGGGGGTGAATACATATGCACATGGTAATTTTCAGATTTTTATTTTCCCAAATGTTTTTTTTATATATATATTCAGCGTTTTCATTTCACTTCATCAACTTAGAATTTTGTGTAAATACAAACAATTCAGATTTAAAAAAAACAACAACATTTAAATACAGGTCAGAATGTAACAAAGTAGGTAAAAAGCCAAGGGGGTGAATACTTTCACAAGTCACTGTAAATATAAGAATCATCATTTGCAAATTTTGTCTTTTTAAGTATTAGCCTTTAAAAAATGAAGACTCTGAACACTAAATTAATTGTTTTTTGTAAAAGAAATAAAATGTTTTGCTAATCATATTGTTTTAGTGCATTTAATTGCCATGTTTGCAAATTATCTCATGAAGCACTGAACAATTTTTATTAAATATGCATCAATTCATGCACTGATGGTTTATTGGATGATATGCATTTCTTAAAAGTAATGTTAAGTTTTTAATTGCACATAATTTAACTATACCTTTATTTATTTTTACATTTATTTTTGAATTTGAACACACAGTGGCATGAGGTAAAGACATCTATTATCTTTACCCGCTTCTTCCTTTCTGGGTAACTGGGGTCACTGGTGCCCATGTCCAGCAATCACCGTGCAAGAGGTGGGGGACACCCTGGACAAGTCACAAGTCCATCACAGGGACGCAGAGACAAACAGACATTCACTCTCTCACTCACACTTTAGAGTTCTGTGGGAGAAAACCCACACATGTGCAGAGAGAACATACAAACTCCACCCAGAAAGGCTGGGATTTGATCCAGCAACCTTCTCGCTGAGAGGCAACAGCTCTACCAACTGAGCTACCGTGCCACCGTCAGGCAAAAACATTTATAATGCAACTCAACCATGCAGCTATCTCAAATACATTATATGTGTTTGATGATTTAGGTTTAATATTACACATCTGAATTACAATGCTCAACTTTTCTACTTTTTAATTAAAAAACATCAAATTTGCCTAAATGTAAATACCAACAGAGCAGCTATGAAGATGTGGGTTAAGTCACTGCTCCCTGGTGAGGAAACTGGGTAACAGCAGAATAATTTGCAGTGTTGAATTAGGTATAAACCACCTAAAATAGATGCTAGTGTGTTCATAATGCGATCTAAAGCAAACACTGGAATACTTGTGTATAAACTAAACCATTCACGTGACAAAACTCACCCTTCTTTTCTTATCCATGCAATCATAGTAAATGTTGACAAACTCTTCAGAATATCGACACGACTGGTCAGCGTGTGTCCTGAAATCCTGAAGCGATAAACACGTAATAAACACTTAATCAAAACTGAGTTAAATAATATTTAACCTAATAACAAAAAAAAGCTCAAATACTCGAACGTTAACTGTATAATGGTGATAGACTTACCAACGTGCTTGCCATGTTTGTAACAATTTAATCGAAACAACAAATAAACAAGAAATAACAATAAAAGTGATAAATCGTGAGGATAACGTTATAATAATTCAAAACTGGCTTTGTTACGTCTTTACTTAGAAAACAACGCGTCCATCTTGAAACACGTTTTACTTCCTATGGCCAAAAATGCGTAGCCTTCAAAATAAAATGTTTTTGGTTTCGTTCAACAAAAAATAACGATTATTGTCAGAAATTATGTACTTTACAATGTATTTATATAGATAGATAATAAGTATTCAGAGTAGTTTCTATGTAAATTGTTATTTGCGTACACTTTGAGAAGATATTCCAAACCTGGTGTTTTACTTTGAAGTGAAAAGCGTCGACCCAGGCGGATGTAGAGAAAATAATTTCCTGAGTCACTGCCTCTCAAGTTTTACTTCCTTTGGCCAAAAATGCGTAGCTTTCAAAATAAAATATTTTTGGTTTCGTTCAACAAAAAATAACGATTGTTGTCAGAAATTATGTACTTTACAATGTATTTATATAGATATATAATAAGTATTCAGAGTAATTTCTATGTAAATTGTTATTTGCGTACACTTTGAGAAGATATTCCAAACCAGGTGTTTTACTTTGAAGTGAAAATCGTCGACCCAGGCGGATGTAGAGAAAATAATTTCCTGAGTCATTGCGTCTGTGTTGAGTGCAGTAATTTCAAAATCGTCGTTTCCTACAAGTTTTTACTGAAGATTAGCAAAAAATTTAAGCATGGAGGGTTCCGTGTCGAATGTGGAGATCTGTAATTTAGCATACAGCGGACAGTACGAGAAAGTAAAACAGTGTATTTTGTCAAATAAAACGCTTGCTAACAAAACGGACCAGGTAAGAATGTTAAAGCTACATGAGCAATATTTTAATGAGCCCTTATTGAAAATATAATTTGATTTCAGGATGGTAGAACCGCTCTACACTGGGCTTGTTCAGCTGGGCACACCAGTATCGTGACGTTTCTGCTTGAACTGGGACTTGATGTGAATCTCCAAGATGATGTATGGCTTTTCTTTGTCAGTGTGTTTAAATTAAAAGCTTTTCAAAAAGAAATCAAAAGGGTTTTTTTATAAGTTGATGCACTCTTATCGTCTAAAAGTGACACCTCATCTTTAATGTGATGTAATAAATGTTGTTTCAGAGTGTTACTAACGCCATATGTGGTGTGTTGTCCACTCCCCAGGCCTCTTGGAGTCCTTTGCACATTGCTGCCTCTGCAGGCAGAGAGGACATAGTGACATCTTTGATCAGCAAAGGAGCTCAGCTGAACTCAGTCAATCAAAATGGATGCACCCCTCTGCACTACGCCGCCTCCAAAGACAGATACGAGGTAGTGTTGTCTGCTTGCAGTAACAACTACTGAGACATCACATTCTTCTATCTAATCATTCATCTATTCGTTCTTTATTTTCTCTCCTGCCTTTAGCCCAGTTCTGGGTTGGGGTTTGACCTCAGCCATCAGCTAGCGTAGTGTTTTTCACCCTCTTTGAGATACAACACTTTTGTCGTATAAAAAGAAAATCTTGTGGCACACCACCAACCAAAGTGTTACACAATGGGCACACTGTTGTTTAGTGGGGTGGACGAATGGACGGACATTATTGATTATCAGTCTGTTTTGTATACTCTCAAGGCCAGTTTTATTGAACACTGATATCCTAGTAGTAATTGAAGGAAGACGCATGACGCTCTTCCTTAACAGCTCTCAGTCTCCCTTGTTTGTTGGCGTCTCTGGGCAGCACGTCTCATCCCCAAAATGCCCCCTGGGCGCTTTAAATAGCTGCCCACTGCACCACCTGGTGGTGGATGGGTTAAATGCAGAGACTAATTTCGCCATTGTATGGAAACATACAGTGCTGACATTGTGATGACATTATTATTATTATTATTATTATTATTATAGCCTTTGTGTTTGAAAACTGAAATCACATAAGTTTGTCGTGAAAAATGGCAGCAGCGTCATAGTAACTCTTATTTGCCCAAAACGGGGAACTCCTTGACATCAGTCACGTAAAAACTGTCCAAAGGTAGTTCATAAAATCTCAGCTTTAAATTTGTCATATTGTCTTAAGCTCGCTGTTTTTGTCTACTTTGGACCATTACAGCTATCATCATCTGAGGTGATATTTTGTGCAGGGTCCAGATCTGAATTTCCTCTATTCGTTTTCAAATCCATAGTTTTGAAACATTCTAATATATCCACATGTTGCATACTCATTCTGTTTTGTTTCTTAAATGATTTTATTGCTTATTTACCTACTGCCACCCACTGGCAGCAAAGGGTAATTCATTACTCTGGAACAACTGCATCTCAGGTTTACTGGCAGTCGTTGTCAGTAGACAAACTTTGGTTTAATTTCATTCTGCAAATTTATCCTTAGCTTTATGCCAACATTTTTATCTTCCTTTATGTTGGATAAACAAAGCAATCACAACCTACACTCACATTTTGTCATTACTTGAGCACTTGTGGTGCAAAAAGAGCTTAGATTGGCTACAACAGGACCTGAAGATGTTCCACTAAAGGGAACTTAAAGTGCAGGTGCTTTACCAGTACATGTAGCTGGGTTGTTCCAGAGAGACTCATCATTCTGTACCTGATGTGGAAACTTTATAACATTTTCTGTACCGGTACCTTTGACCAAACTTTATAAAACTGAATAACAACAGAGTTGTTATGTCAGTCTTTGGCAACAATTTGTGTTTTGGGTCAAACGGTGAACAAATACCAGTCTCAATGCTTAACCATTCTTGCCCCTTCTCAGATTCCTCCCAGTATTTAACTAATTAAGCCATTTAAAATGACAAGCAGTGACACTTCGAATCCGGAAGTCCTAGACCACCTTTTTCTCTAGGGACATACAATTTATCTAGTTTTATTCTCTCTCTTTTACCTCCCCACAAGAAATGTTTAATCAAATGTTTATACCTTTTCAAGACATCTAGCAGACTTGTAATGGGCAACATCAAAACCACAGTTCAACTGAGGGGCGGCGATGATTTGAATGATATTAATCTTGCCCCACAATAGGTGGGGGGAGTGGTGGCGCAGAGGTTAGAGAAGGCGAGCCTCGAAAGGTCATCGATTCAATCCCCTGGACTGGCAACATCAAAATGTGTGTGTGTGGGAAAGGTGAAGCAAATTTTTTGTTTTAATTTTTAACAACACCAGGTTAAAGTTTAGTAAAGGTAAAAAAAAAAATCTAGTTCATTTACCAGAAAAACTTATTTTTATGTAGATTAAAGCAATAACGTGTTTTTTTGTTTGTTTTGTTTTAACCACAAACTTTTGTCATTTGTTGTTTGCTGAAGGTTGTTCACAGCAGCTTTATGAATTGTTCTTTAGAAGAACTCCCTGCTTATAAACTTGTCTGTTGGAAAAACTCGAGGTGGAGTCATTTATGGATAAAGAATGTCTGAGATAAATGCTGCCCATATTAATCAAGCCTCTTCTTCCCATTTACTTCAGTTTAATTTTGGTCAAAAAAAATTGGGACTGTCAACCAGACATTACAGTAGAGTTGATAACATCTCTTTATACAGGTCCTTCTCAAAAAATTAGCATATTGTGATAAAGGTCATTATTTTCCATAATGTAATGATAAAAATGAAACTTTCTTTCAGATTCATTGCACACCAACTGAAATATTTCAGGTCTTTAATTGTTTTAATACTGATGATTATGGCATACAGCTCATGAAAACCCAAAATGCCTGTCCCAAAAAATTAGCATATTTCATCCCACCAATGAAAGACAAGTGTTTTTATTACAAAAAACACCAACCTTCAAATAATCATGTTCAGTTATTCACTCAATACTTAGTCGGGAATCCTTTTGCATGAATGACTGCTTCAGTGCGGCGTGGCATGGAGGCAATCAGCCTGTGGCACTGCTGAGGTGTCATGGAGGCCCAGGATGCTTCGATAGCGGCCTTAAGCTCATCCAGAGTGTTGGGTCTTGCGTCTCTCAACTTTCTCTTCACAATATCCCACAGGTTCTCTATGGGGTTCAGGTCAGGAGAGTTGGCAGGCCAGTTGAGCACAGTCATACCATGGTCAGTAAACCATTTACCAGTGGTTTTGGCACTGTGAGCAGGTGCCAGGTCGTGCTGAAAAATGAAATCTTCATCTCCATAAAGCTTTTCAGCAGATGGAAGCATGAAGTGCTCCAAAATCTCCTGATAGCTGCATTGACCCTGCGCTTGATAAAACACAGTGGACCAACACCAGCAGCTGACATGGCACCCCAGACCATCACAGACTGTGGGTGCTTCACACTGGACTTCTGGCATTTTGGCATTTCCTTCTCCCCAGTCTTCCTCCAGACTCTGGCACCTTGATTTACGAATGATATGCAAAATTTGCTTTCATCCAAAAAAAGTACTTTGGACCACTGAGCAACAGTCCAGTGCTGCTTCTCTGTAGCCCAGGTCAGGCGCCTCTGCTGCTGTTTCTGGTTCAAAAGTGGCTTGACCTGGGGAATGCGGCACCTGTAGCTCATTTCCTGCACACGCCTGTGAACGGTGGCTCTGGATGTTTCTATTCCAGACTCAGTCCACTGCTTCCGCAGGTCCCCCAAGGTCTGGAATCGGCCCTTCTCCACAATCCTCCTCAGGGTCCGGTCACCTCTTCTCATCATGCAGCGTTTTCTGACACACTTTTCCCTTCCCACAGACTTCCCACTGAGGTGCCTTGATACAGCACTCTGGGAACAGCCTATTTGTTCAGCAATTTCTTTCTGTGTCTTACCCTCTTGCTTGAGGGTGTCAATGATGGCCTTCTGGACAGCAATCAGGTCGGCAGTCTTACCCATGATTGTGGTTTTGAGTAATGAACAAGGCTGGGAGTTTTTAAAAGCCTCAGGAATCTTTTGCAGGTGTTTAGAGTTACATCGTTGATTCAGATGGTTAGGTTAATAGCTTGTTTAGAGAACCTTTTCATGATATGCTAATTTTTTGGGACAGGCATTTTGGGTTTTCATGAGCTGTATGCCATAATCATCAGTATTAAAACAATTAAAGACCTGAAATATTTCAGTTGGTGTGCAATGAATCTGAAATATATGAAAGTTTCATTTTTATCATTACATTATGGAAAATAATGACCTTTATCACAATATGCTAAATTTTTGAGAAGGACCTGTACAAGTATATAAAAACATTTTTGGTGCCGTATTTTCCGCCTTAAACTTCGCTCCGCCCTATAAGTCTCATCGGGCCATATTTGTCTAATGAAATGGAAAAACCCATAAATATGTTGCTTCGCCGTATACGTTGCATCTATTATACGTCACCGCTGACAACCCGGAAATGTGGGCCGGTGTTGTGCCAGCCAGAAATTGTCTGCAAAATGGCAGCCACTGGGGCGTGCACGGGAGGACTTTTAACAAGAATTTAATAAGAGTAACACTTAAAAACAATTATTAGTTTGCTCAAAATTATAGTAAAGTTGTGTCTCAGTCTAACTTTTGCGTAATAAATGCACTTTGACAGTCAAATATTCTGGTTAGAGAGTCATGAGTCTTAACAGCCTCAGGGTAGAAGCTGTTCCTCAGTCTAGTGGTTCTACACTTAATGCTTCTCAGCCTCCTTCCTGAGGGGAGTGGGACAAAAAGTGTGCGTGCTGGGTGAGTGGGGTCCTTCATGATGCAGGTGGCCCTCTTCCTGCATCTGGAGGTGTAGATGTCTGTGATGGTGGGGAGGCTGACTCCAACAGTCTTCTGTGCAGCCTTCCCCACTCTCTGCAAAGCTTTTCTTTCTGCAGCTGTGCAGCCTCCATGCCACACGTTGATGCTCGAGCACAGGATGCTCTCCACTGAACACCTGTAGAAGGAGGTGAGGACTGAGTTTCCCAGTCCAGCTCGTCTCAGCCGCCTGAGGAAGTAGAGTCTCTGATGAGCTTTCTTGATCAGGCTGGTGGTGTTGTTGCTCCAGCTGCGGTTGTCATTCATGTGTACACCCAAGTACTTGTAGCTGGAGACCACTTCCACTGCAGTTCCTCTTATGTTTGGGGGGGATAGGTGTGTTTGTTCCTTCTGAAGTCCACAATCATCTCCTTTGTTTTCTTCGCATTGATGTGAAGGTTATTCTCTTTGCACCAGTTTTCCAGGTGTTCCACCTCCTGCCTGTAGCTGGACTCATCGTTGTTTGTGATGCATCCCACCACCACTGTATCATCTGCAAACTTTACAATGTGACAGCCTGGATGAGTAGCTGCACACTCATACGTGATCAGAGTGAACAGGAGAAGACTCAGCACACATCCCTGAGCAGAGCCAGTGCTGAGGGTTATGGTGGAGGAGGAAAAGTTGTGGATCCTCACAGACTGTGGTCTGTTTGTTATGAAGTCTAGTACCCAGTTGCAAATGGAGGGACTTAGTCCTAGTGTGGATAGTTTGTCCATCAGGGTTTGGGGGATCATGGTGTTGAAGGTGGATATGAAGTCCACAAAGAGCATACGGACATAAGAGTCTTTCTGCTCCAGGTGGTGGTTGGTTTTTATGATGTAAATAAAATAATTCAAGTAGAAAAATGGCAGGAAATCCACCATGAAAACATTTTCTGTTACAGCACTGTATGATGATTTCCAACTTCTAAAAGTATGTTTTTAAATAAACCTCTGCGTTTCGATGGACCAGAGAATATTGGATACATTTCTTTCTCCTTTTAGGCTATAAACGGTTCAGAGGGTCACAAAATTATGCATTATTGTTGGTAATCTACAAAACAAGGAATAACCTGAGAACATCTTTTATACGACATTCTCCAAAAATCTAACATTTAGGCCTTTTTACTTATTGTTTGAGTTTCTAATTGCCAACTGTCAAAACACGGTGGGTCCAGAAGGAGGTTATGTTCTTATTTAAAACTGACATGGATGAGTAGCTGCACTGTTTCTTTTTCAGAAACAGATCCTGTCTAACCGGAACGCTAGGAAACGCCTTGTATCTGTGACTTTCCTTCCCTCCATTGATTACGGTGACATTATTTACATGACGCTCCTACAAGAACCCTGCAGATGTTGGATGCTGTCTATCATGGTGCACTAAGATTCATAACTGGCTGTGATTATCGTACCCATCACTGCTCCCTGTATTCACTGGTTAACTGGTCATCATTAACTTCACACAGACTCTCTCACTGGTACATTTTCATCTTTAAATCACTTCTTGGTCTGCTGTCTTCATACATCTCCTCCTACATGTCTCTGCGTGAGTGCAGCTACGGCGTGCGCTCTCAGAACATTATTACCTGCAGTGTTCCCTCAATGAGGACTGAACTAGGCAAAAGGGTCTTCTCCTGCTCCGCTCCTGTTTCCTGGAACATCTTACAAAAAGATTTGAAGCTCTCGACCTTGACCTCTCTAAGTGGCTTTAAGAATCTGTTGGACTCCTGGCAGGGACCAACGCAGACATGTTCCTGTTTTTAGTTTTCTACATTCACCTTAGAACCTAGCTGTTTTTGTTACCTTTTTTAGCCATCCTATTTGTTTTAAAAAATAAAGAAAAAACTGGAGTATGACATTTTATAACTGTTTTTTGTTGTTGCTGTTGTCCATTGTTGTCATCATTCTTTGTTAAAATCAGGTCTCTCTTGTAAATGAGTCCTCGAGGCTCAATGGGATTTACCTGTCTAAATAAAGGTTGAATGAACATGAAAGGCAGTGGGTGAGATGCATTCCTTCAAGGAATGCTATGCCTTTAATTTATCGGTGTTTAAGAGCGTGAAACAGCATTTTCAGGCAAAATTTTAAAAATAAAATACAAACTAATTAGTTACTGAAACAAGTCCTTCTATATTTTAAGTATTCAAGAGTCATCAGTTTCAGCAAGTCTCATTTCCATTTTTCGTCTCACTTCCTACGTGAGATTAAAATTTCCACCAGTATGTGCGGATTTGGTGGCTTCTTTCAGAAACCAAAAGCACCAGTTGAGAAAATGTGCGCGTCTTGCCAAAGGGAAACTACTGGGGCTTAAACTGGGTTACTTGTCAGTGTTTGACACAGTTTCTTGGCTTTTCAGATTGCCTTGCTGTTGCTGGAAAATGGAGCAGACCCCAATGCTACTGACAAGTTGGATTCCACCCCACTTCACAGGGCGTCAGCTAAAGGCAACTACCGTCTCATCCAGCTGCTTCTCAAACAGAGCGCCTCAACAAACATCCAGGACTCGCAGGGCAATACACCTCTGTATGTGTCTAGAGAAACGTGGGGTTTTTCACTTCCTTTCGGTGGTATCAGTCACACGTTTTAGTTTATTTTTTCACTTTCATTGCAATTTAATGGAATTTTAACATGAGGTTGGGAAGCATTTTAGTTTAATGTACAAAAAAGTTTTCTTTCAGATTTCTGTTTAATTCTTTTTTTTTTTTTTACAGCCACCTGGCATGCGATGAGGAGCGTGTCGAAGCAGCCAAGCTACTGGTGGAACATGGGGCCAGCATTTACATCGAGAACAAAGAGGAGAAGACCCCACTCCAGGTAGCTAAGGGTGGCTTAGGAAACCTACTTCGTCGAATTGTGGAGGGTTGATGCTTTAAGGGAATTGTTCATGCTTCGACTGAAATTCCCACCAGAGGCACCAGTGCCACAATACATCCTGAAAATTGTCATTCCACTCAGTTCTCTCAGTTCTTCTTGACCAGGATTGGTATGAAACTGATGGACAGCTGGGACACGAGAAGGTGTTTAGGAAAAAGATGGACTGTGCTGCACCCCTTTCAGCTCCTTGCTAGGTTTTGAAGACATGCAGATACTATATGTTTGATGAAAAGCGTTGTCTCATAAACGCAGTGAAATACACATTGTATTTTTTTTTTTTTTTTTTATGGCTAACAAAAAACACGACTACAAGAAAATGTAAAATGATCTATTTGGAATAAATTTGTTGTTTACAAATGTGCATTGACTTTTGTTTGATTAATAAAATATTCCACTATCTTGTGGAGGAAAATGTGTACTCCATCTAGGATTTGATTCCTGTCTTAATTTAATCAATGATTTTTTTTTCTCACCCTAAAGTTAATCATGGAGTTCCATCAGGGTTCTGTGTTTGGACCTTGATTTTTATTTTGTAATTGCGTCCTTTGGGGTAAAAGTGTTGTCATAGTCAAATGTATATTTTTAAGAAACTCATTCATGAAACAAGTCTTTGATGCATAGTGTTTCAGTTCCGTAGTATTTCCTACCCCCTGCTTCCCATAAGAAAACGTCTTAGTTTTGTGTGGAACATATCGCCAGCAGCACAAACCGCACTCTCCACAACGGTCAATAACCTGAGATACAACGTTGGTGTCTAAAGCCATTACCAGTCAAAACTCAACTTACAAAACTAAACATTAGCTTCTCTTGCTAGTTTGCTAATATGATGTTTCCTTAGATATCTTAAAAATTAAAATAATCCACCATTAACTGAATATTAAATTCTTTAAAAATACACTGTTTAAATCAAATTATCTCTTTCTTTTTACAGTAGTTAAAAACTCAGATGAGTTGCATACGATGGGCTAAGGTGATACAAATCTTGAGTAACCCTTTCTTTTTATAGCTTCTACTTAAGCTAACCTGTAGAAGAAAATGTGTACTCCCATCAGGATTTGATACCCGTCTTATTTAATCATTGATTTTTTTTTTCTCACCCTAAAGTTAATCATGGAGTTCCATCAGGGTTCTGTGTTTGGACCTTGTCTTTTATTAGGCCCGAGCAGTGAAGCGCTGCGAAGACCTATTGTAATCGCTCTGTTCAGGCCTGAGCTGCAATTTTATTCCGCCAAATGATTTGGCGTTTTGGGGGCCTTAACATATCCCAAAAGTCACCAAAGTTGGAAGCATCAGGACTAGTGAAAGATTACGTGTTTTAAGGGCGTGGCAAAAATCGCAACAGAAACGGCTCAAGAGCGCTACCTAGAAATTTTCAAAATACCCTCCGCATTAACCTTAGTTTGTCGAAGAAACATGAAATTTTGTACGCTTACCCAATTCCCCAAGATGCACAGAAAACCCTCTGGCACCAACAATGTACGATAAACAGGAAGGCGGCCATTTTGGAATGCCGGCCCAATTTTCACACCTTTTTGGCGGTCTACAGCCTCCGCATTTGAACTCCTCCTCCTAGGGATTTCGCTCAATCGGTTTCAAACTTGGCCATTTTGGTCAAAAGGCACGGGGGACGCAAAGTTATCTAAACGGTTTGTTTCGGAGCATGATGAAGGGGCGGGGCCAGACCTCAAAGTTTGACATCTCGCTATGAAAAACTAAACGCTAATAGCTCTTACAAGAAAACCGTCTGAGACATCAAACCTTCAGTGATTGATCCACATCCGGTCCCCTGCAAGACTGAATGGCCAAATCATGACATCACTTCAGCCACGCCCCCTGACAACAGGAAGTATAAAGTTTTACGTTGAACGATCCCTAGCTGACCCATTACCTGATCAGCATGATAGTGTGTCCAGTGACCGAAGACATGTTGGTGGAATTTGCTTTCCAACACTGACAGTTTTGGGTGGAGCATGTGGGCGGCGCAGCGTGGCGAAGTAAGACGCAACGCCATCGCCATACGTTTGGCTCTAAATTCCACAGTTTTGAACCGAGGTGCACAAAAATCAGTATGATGGATCATTATCCACCCCTTGAACAGGAAGCCATGATAAGTCGACAATAGCCTCCACAGCGCCCCCTAGAATATTTTAAAACCTCAGCCCCAAGTCATTTTTGGACTGATAATTCTGAAACTCGGTGAATATCTGTATCTTGTCAGGATCTATGAAAAAGTCTTTTGGAGCCCTGGTCCAAACTCAACAGGAAGTCGGCCATTTTGGGTCAAAGGGTCAATTTTGGGTGTTTCTAATGGCACATTTTAACGAACTCATCCTAGGGAATGCCTTCAAACTTGGTTAATATGCCCTTAACACATCGGAGAGTGAAAGTTATCAAAAGCTTGCTTTTCGTATATGTTAAAGGGGCGTGGCCAGGCCTCAAAGTTGAGCTTCACGCAATAAATTTCCAAATGCTACAACTATCACATTGAAAGACCGAAACGCACCAAACTTGGCATGAGTCATCCCTGTCCAACAATCCTCTGTGGTCATATTCTGATGTCATCAAAGCCCCGCCCCCTCAGAACAGGAAGTCACTTGTTTTGCTTGGAATTAGGGCTGCAACTAACGATTATTTCAATAATCGATTCATCGGACGATTTTTTTTTATTAATCGATGAATCGGCTAAAATAATCTACATTTTAATTTCCACCCCTTTATTCCAAAATTGAACATTTGACTGACATAACAATTCGCACAAAAAAAACAGGTTGCTATTTGACTATTCTGTTAGTAAAATATTCCATCCATCCATTATCTTTACCCGCTTATTCCATTTTGGGTCACGGGGGTCGCTGGTGCCCATGTCCAGCAATCATTGTGCGAGGGGCGGGGTACACCCTGGATGGGTCGCAAGTCCATCACAGGGCCACATAGAGACAAACGAGACAAACAACCATTCACTCTCTCACTCACACCTAGGGACAATTTAGAGTTACCAATCAGCCTAACATGCATGTTTTTGGTCTGTGAGAGGAAACCGGAGCACCCGGAGAAAACCCACACATGCACGGAGAGAACATGCAAACTCCACCTAGAAAGGCCCCTGGACCGAGGTTTGAACCAAGGACCTGCTCACTGAGAGGCAGCAGCTCTATCAGTTGCGCCACCGTGCTGCCCTAGTAAAATATTGAATAATAAAAAATAAACGTTAATCAAATAGCTTAAAAAAATAAATGTACACAAAAATATATACAAATGTATCTTTATACCTGCAAAATATGTAGCTACTTTGTAAAATGTGTCCTTGAGGGAAGAGTGTAACCTGGATTAAAAGTGTGGATTATTGTAACCTGGATTAAAAGTGTGGATAATTGTAGTGAAACCTTCGTTTTCAACCATCAACAGAGGCCTCATGTCAGTCCTTTGAGGTCATGTCCTCAATGCAGACATGTTCCTGTTTTCTACATTCGCCTTATAATCTAGCTAGTTTTTTTTTTTTTGTTACCTTTTTCTTTTAGCCATCCTATTTGTAAAAAAAAATAAAATACCAGTATCAGTAACATATCAGTATGACTTTTTATAATTGTTTATTGTTGTTGCTGTTGTCCACTGTTGTCATCATTCTTTGTTGAAATCAGGTCTCTCTTGTAAATGAGTCCTCGAGGCTCAATGGGATTTACCTGTCTAAATAAAGGTTGAATGAATGTCAGTGACGATCATGTTCAGGATGTTTCAGTGAAGACAGCTGCTGCTGTGGTGTCCATGATGTCTGTCCATCATGAAGTGTCGTTTGTTGTTGTTTTCTGGAATGAGAGAGTAAATATGTATTATAGCATAATTTACAGCAACTCAAGAAATGCCTTGTTTCACTTACAGTGTTGGGTTAAGGCAAATAAGTAGCCCAAACGGCAATTAAACACACACACACACACACACATATATATGAAATACTTAATTACGCACATTTCAGTAGATGTAATAAATTACTTTAATTCCTGTTTAAATGCAATTCATCCTGCCATACCTGCAGTGTCTTCAGACTTTGCCAGCAAATTAAAAGTTGAAGCTTAATCATTAAATTATTGTCTTTGTGTTAGATTTATTTATAAATCACATTTAAACACTGCTTGTACCAATTAAATGAAATAAAAAGTAACACACGTTCTCCATCACCGTCATTAATCTGATAACAAACAAACAAACAAGCATCAGCTTCATCTACCAGAGAGACTGACGTTACGTTTTCTCACTTGGAAACAGAACAATGTGTTAAATTGTAGAGACTCACAGAATCAGAATAAGAATAAACTTTATTGGCATTGCACCGAGATACAATGCGAATATGTACGTACAGTCGTCCGAAGATGGGCGGAGTGCACGAAGCTGCGGCTAAAATAATTAGCGCGGCCTTCTTATTCTTATTCAGAATAATATTTTGCTTAGATAAGAAAAGGAAAGAAAACACGAGGAGAGACGGTATAAAAAAAGATCGCTCACACTGTGTCCTAGACAGGACACGATTTGAGGCATCAAAAAAACCTACCACAGCAAAGCAACATAAACAGACGTTATACATTTACATATAGGCAGTGAAAACATTGAATTTTTAAGGGAAAGTCGTAGCATAGTCCAGAGCCCCCCCTCAGCCATTGTCCAGATAAGAGGTGACGTTCATCTTCAGCTCAGTTGAGGTTCTGTCACATGTCCACGGCCTTGGGGAAGGGAGGGGTCAAGTCAAGTCAGATTTATTTATAGAGCACGAAACAGTCAAAGCATCTTTGTTGTTTTCAAAACCTTCCAGGAGGAGTTGAGATAAGTCCGGCGTCAAGACCACAGTTTGGGTCAGGCAGAACTCGTTATTGTTGTTTCTGCCTTTAAAGTCTCGCTGGTACATATTCTCTGATGGAAACTCCAAAACAGCCGAATTGATCCTTTACTCCAAAAGTCGAGCTCACAGCTTCTCCACATTATTCCCACCATTCATGAGTGCTGCCAGGAAGAACACAGTCCTGATAACAGCTGCTCCAATTC